GCGGAGAAAGCTCATTTTGGCTGCCTGTATCCAGGATCTTGCCCTTTAGGTCATGACCCCAAGTTCATGACCGTAGGTGAGAGTCGGAACGTAGATTGACCAGTAAATCGAGAGCTTCGCCTTACAGCTCAGCCCCTTCTTCACCACGACAGACCGGTACATCGACTGCATTACTGCAGAAGCTGCACCGATCCGCCTGTCAATCTCCCGTTCCATCCTTCCCTCACTCGTGAACAAGACCCCAAGATACTTGAACTCCTCCACTTGAGGCAGGAACTCTCCACCAACCTGAAGGGAACAAGCCACCCTTTTCCGACTGAGAACCATGGCCTCGGATTTGGAGGTGCTGATTCGCATCCCAGCCGCTTCACACTCAGCTGCAAACCGCCCCAGTGCACGCTGGAGGTCCTGGTTTGATGGGGCCAACAGGACAACGTCGTCTGCAAAAAGCAGAGACGAGATCCTGTGGTCCCCAAACCACTGCTCTGCCCAGAACCCGTGACAAGCGTCACTCTGTGCGACACATTTCAGTAGGTTTCTATCATGGAAAAACCCCTTACCTGAGCTCACCCTGTAATGGCTGTAGTGCCCAAGACACCCTACCGACTCCAAGAGCCACAGGGCCAGACAAATGATGTCACTTACTTGACTGCTGCAGCACTATTTAAAGGATGATGGCTTCCCTAATACAAAAGAATAGAGTCACTCCCTGCCCAGAGCTATTCTCCCATGATACTAAGAACAGCAACAATAGGGGCTTAAGAATAGTTACTAAATCTAATAACTGTATATTCAGTAATGCAAAGAGCAAAACCAAAATTAGAACTAAATCTCATGAGAATATCACTCAAAAAAATTAATGATGTTAATCCAAACACATGTAAACTCCAATACCATGCATGATACACAGTAGGGATATACACTGACAACATACTCCAAACATCTGCAGTTCAAACAAGCAAAACGACCATCAGAAGGCACCATGAGTTGATACAGTGTGAGCAGACTGGCCAGATTAATTTTTACCCAGCGCTTTTCACTACCCCAAATACACTGTTAGCTGGAACTGCATGTTACGTAATTGGCTGCATCTCTTTAGTGGCCTCCCAGACCCAGTTTTTTTTATTTCTTGTTTCTAACTGGTAATTCTGAGTCACGTCATAATGGGGGAACCCAACAACAGCAACAACAGCATGCATATTCTTTTAGTCAGTGAGTCTTGGCTACAAAAAGTGAGTCTCAAAGTTCCAAATAGAACAAGTTCACCCAAAATTCTAAACCCAGAAGGTACTGGTCTGGGCTTTGGAAACTCAATCCAGTCCAGGACATGAGTGCCATGTTGCTCAGACATTTTGGCTCTTGGACATTACCCTGCCTTTACTAGCAGCCTATCAGAAAGCACTTTAAACATGCTACTAGGTATCTAGACAATTGTAATTAGAAGAATTTAAAAACTGAAAACCACTGCTTTACACTTTTCTTTTGGTCTAAGAACCCCAGTTTTTATGACAATACTACTCTAATTGGTTTTAGTGCAAGTCAAATTAAAACCTATCACAATACCAACTTTGTGTAAACTTAAATAAAGCATTGTGGCTATGATATGATTGGGGGGGAATTCACAAAACTATATTGTACATTGGACATTGTAAATCAAATATTAGGGTTGAGGACTTCATTTCCTAAATGCAAGTCACTGTAAAGTAAAACAAAGTTAAACAAAGATGCGTGCATCTGTAAAGCACAGGAACTTGTCTAAACCTCTCCCTGACTGCTGAGCACACCCTGAAATCTACCCTGAAGCAGAGTGTAAAGAAAGCAGACTTTGATACTCCTGTCAATACAGATCTCTGAGCCACCTTCTCATATCAGATAACATTAAATATGAGAGGAGTGACCTCTCCTATGCAACGAGTCAATGATAAAATTCTACTTTCATTTATTAAATCACAGGTCATTTGCATTAGCTGTATCTGTACACTGATTTAACAACACAGAGATGCATACTACAGCTTAGATAAAACTATTCCTGCACAATTTCCTGAAGGCCACAGGAACAGGATGTACAGCAGGAAGGACATAGACTCGTGACCAGATGTAGTGACAGAATCAGCATAAACAAGTCTGTTAAAGAACCAACTGATCATGGAGAAAAGACGAGTCAACAATTCAAACTTCCCCTGCTGTTTTGTTTCACTAATGACCACATGTTCAGTCAAGTTCAACATTTTACATTAACAAGGGATCACCGAGTCATTCATGTAAAACATAATTGTTATTTAAAACGTTTTCCATTTAACATCAGTTTATGTTGTATGGTTGCCCTTTTATCTTTTATGATGCCAGGTACTTTGAGCAGGAAGTCTTTCTATACTACGGTACATTATCTGTATTGTAGATGTTATACTATGCACAAACATTTAATGAAACACTGATTTTATGTTCACTCAGGTCCCAATCACTGTGCCTCAAAGTGACATACAAAACTGTGGTGAAGACTTGTAACATATCTTATTTTTATACTCAAGAGTGCGACATAGGTGTGAGTATATTGCTCTGTTTACTGCAAATGCATAGTTAAAATTTGTTCATCTCAACCTCAGAGTTCAGTTTAGACTTCAGGTACATCATGTGGTGCTTTGAAGAGGTTAGCTTTATCACTAATATGGGTTTAGAGTAAGACTTTTCCTGCATGCAGTTAGAGGCATGTTAAGATGAACATTTCTGAAAAGCATACATTTATGATTTACATCCATTTTTGAAGAAGGCTGGTTCACAGAGCATACAAAGATTAAGACCACCTACAGGAGCAATCAACATTTAGACCTCAACACTCAGAGGCACCTCTCAGCATATCTGACATGTTAACTCTAGTTTAGACCTGCTACATGGCCTCCTAAATTAGTCTGTTCTCCACAAAATAAAATAAAATCTATACTTTATG